CTCACAGCAGCGTTACTCATAACAGCCAAAAAACAGAAACAACTCAAGTGCCCATCAACTGATGACTGAATAAACAAACTGTGGCACATCATACAATGGAATATTATTCAGCCATAAAAATGAATGACATAACAACACAGGCCACAGCATGCACGAAGCTTGGAAACATTATGCTAAGTGCAAGAAGGCGGTCACAAAAGGCCACCTATCGTATGATCCCATTTGTGTAAGATGTCCAGAACAGGCAAACCCATAGGGACAGGAAGTAAATTAGTGGTTGCCACAGGCCTGGGAGTGGGGAGTGGGAAATGACTGCTAACTGGTGCAAAGTTTCTTTCTAGGGTGACGAAAATGTTCTCAAGTTGACTGTGGTGATGGTTTTGTGCAACAAACTTTGTGTGTGTCAAAACACTAAAACCCACTGAACTCTATACTTTCAAAGGGTGAATTTTATGGTATGTAATTTATATCGCAACAAAGCTGTTATAAAAAAAATCTTGGGGCCAGACCCGCGGCCAAGTGGTTGAGTCCACACGCTCTGCTTTGGCGGCCCAGGGTTTGGATCCTGGGCGCAGACATGGCAGCGCTCATTAGGCCATGTTGAGGCGGCGTCCCACGTGCCACAACTGGAAGGACCCACAACTAAGATATACAACTATGTACTGGGGGGATTTGGGGAGGAAAAAAAAAGCAGGAAAAAAAAAAAGAAGAAGATTGGCAACAGTTGTTAGCTCAGGTGCCAATCTTACAAAAAAAATCTTTCCACAAAGAAAATTCAGCTGTGGGATGGAGTGCTTCCCTGCACAGCCCTACAGGTTGCCATTCCAGCAGACTGAAAGGTACGCAGTCCTCCGGGTGAGCAGGCAAATGGTGGCCCCGCTCAGACAACTTCACAGGTAAATTCTACCACACTCAGGAACGTATAATTCTAATATTACACAAACTTTTCCATAGAATAAACAGGCAACACTCGCCAATCCATTTGTGGTTGGCATAACCTTAATCTCAAATCCAGGCAAGGGCAGTATAAGAAAGAAAAATTACAGGCTAACTTTAAAAAGGAAAAATTATAGGCCAACTCCTTAAATAGATTTAAGGATCCTAAACAAAATATTAGCTGATTCTAACAATAAATTAAAAAGATATTACATAATGACCAAGTTGTATTTAAATACAAGGTTGGTTTTACATTAGTAAATAATCAATATAATTCACCACATTAATAACAAATGAATCATATATGACCATCTCAAAAGACATATTGATAGAAAGATATTGCCGGAAAAGATAAAAGATATTGATAGAAAAAAAGGGCTCTATAAAATTCATTCCTAATTAAAGGGGAAAAAAAATCCTTGAAACTAGAGATAGAAAGGAATATCCTTATCCTGATAAAGATTATTTGCACACACACACAAATACACACACGCATACACACAGAGAGAGCTAACCTTATTATATTAAATGAGGAAACATTGAAAGCATCCCTTTGATTAAAATCAAGAACAAAACGACGCCTGCAGTCAGGGCTCCTATTCTATTTCGGTAAGTATAAGCTCCCAGGTGATTCTGAGGGTGGTGATCCAGGCACCACTGTGAGAAATCGGGGGCTGGAGAAACCATTTGCCTATTGAGGTGCTCCTTGTTTCCGGGCGCCCAAGTCCACATACCCGACACCACTCTCAGCCAGTTATCCGGCTGTACTTCCTTTCTCTCATAATAATCCCTCCGCTCTATTTCAGTTTTCCTGGATCTTCACAATTAGCCCCGTGTGACTGATCTCACAGACTATCTCCATTTTACAGATAGGGAAACTGAGGCTTAGAGAGGCTATGAGTCTTGTCTGAATTCCACAGTCAGCGTCAGAGCAGCAGTGCAAGGCTGGGCATTGCCGGGCTTTTCCTCTCCACACAGCACCTCGGGAATCCTCCTGTCCCGGCCCCTAAACGAAGGCAGCAGGTTGACATGATGTGTTTACCTGCAGCCTGTGGGCCAGGGCTGTAGTTAATAAAAGATTCTCAATTGGACACAAAATGCCCTTGTTTCCTGTCAGAGTGTTATGCCATGTTCATATGAACTTGCTGTCTAGACTTCACTGTTTTGTCTCCAAATTGGGTCTGTGTAGGAATCAACACCAAGATATTCACTCCATTCCTTGAGCGGTTTGTTCAAATCTTTGAAAACTCCCTAACGCACCCAGGCCTGCTTTTAGGCACAAGGGAGACGAGAAATTATGAGGCATAGACCCAAGTCCCACCTCCTAAGGGAAGGGAGAAACTGCCCTTTCCTGTGAGCACTCTGTCAGCCAGGAATGTGCCAGAATTATAACCTTGACAATGCCAAGCGGTGGATGAGGCTCAGAGAGGGTAGGGAAGTGGCCCAGGCCGCACAGCTGGTCGATACACAAAAGGAGAGGCAGCCATACAGGTTCCAACCAACAGGTGAAGGGGCTCAGAGAAGGGAGAGGGCGCCTGAAGCTCCGTGAAGAAGGAAGCCAGAAGGGGGACAGAGGGTAGGGGGAAAGAAAACCTTCTTCAGAGATCAAGAGAAGTGAATGCCCAATCTGGTGGGGAGACTAAAGAGCCCACGGTGTGGCTAGGGAAGGGGGTCTATGCATGGCAAGTGGCGGAGGAGGTGGGTAGGGGTCAGGCACGTGAACCAGGCTAGGGAGCAGGGCTCTGAGTCTGGGAGGGGACAGGCTCTACCTCTCCAAATGCCCTGGAGAGCACAGGAGAGTTGACAACAATAATGACAGTCAACATTACTGACTATTCATCATGTGCCAGGCACCTCACATGGGCCATCTCATTTCTCCTCACCCTAACCCTAGGAAACAGACACTGTCATCACCCCACTTACAGAAGCAGAAACCGAGGTGGAAAGGTTAAGTATCGTGCCCAAGGTCACTCTGCAGACCAAGTATTGGAACCCGTAGAGCGCAGCAAAAGTAAGGTTAACATTTGCATAAAGTCTCCTATTTAAAATATTCATGCAAGTTTTGCATTTTTCTCCTTAATATACTTGTATCTGTTTCAATATCAAAAAATACCTTTCTCCCTTCCCCACCAAATCTTCAAACAAAACCACCCTCCAGGCAGGCAGAGGCACTGTGTTTTCTCTGTGGCTGCATGAACTTTGGGCACGATGCTGGGAAGGCCAGTGGTCGATGCAGGAGCCCACGCAAGGTTTTGAAGAAGTGGCGGATGTGAGGTGCGAGGTTGGTTCTCTGCCTCTGGCTAGTGCCACTTTACCAAACAGGATACTGTCATCTCTATCATTTATGACAAACTACACAGAGAAGACACGTTCATCTTTAGCCCTCAGGGGTTGTCTGGGCCCCATCTTCAGAATCCCCTTGCATCCAGAATCTCAGCAGGCTACCCAAAGCAGAGGCCCACTGAGACCACTCTCTCTGCTTCACTTCTTTCCTGGGAACGTACTCTGAACCCAACCTTGACCAAAACATCCAGGAAGACATCCAAGCAGAAACCCAAAATCCCAACCCCAAGAGACCCCATACCTGCCCCAAAGTTTCCCGTCTGCAGGCCTTTGCTCACACTGTTCCCTCCACCTGGAAGGCTCTCCTCACCTCCCAAATCCTACCCACCCTCAAAACCCATCTTATAAGCCCCGCCCCCTCATGGAGGCTTCTGCGAGCCCTTCCTCCCCCACAACGGAAGTGACCAAGCCTCCTCCGAAACTATCTGTCCCTCTCAGCACACACCCTAACTCACTTATCAACAGAAGCACTCAGGCACATTTTTACACCCTCCAGACCAATGTACGAGCCCCTAAGGGCAGGATTTGTAAGAGAGTATTCTCTGAGTCCAGCATAGAGTAATGCCTTGCGCATAATAGTCAATAAAAATTTTATGGGTGAATGGATCAAAGAACCACCCTGTGTGCCCACTAACCACAGCCATGTGCCCTGTGGGTAGACGCACTGGTGCCATGCACCAGGAAGGGCGTTTATGGTCCTGGGAGAAGAGAGGCAGGCGCTCTGCCCAGCAGGGTCATGGGAGCCGGCGTCACTTTTAGTGTGTCTGTTACCTGCCGCATTGCTCAGCTCTTCCCACCAAACAGCTCTGCATCACTTCTGATTGTCCCCCAATGCCGCCTGCTGGAATCACCCAGCTTCACAGGCTTCCAGGGAGAGGGCCTGGCAGTCTGTCTCCTCTTAATCTTCCATTCATGCTGCTGAGGTCATCAGCATTTATCTTTCTGGGGAAGGTCACGAGTACTTGGCAGTCAGCTGACTGGAAGCGAGCTCTGGCCTCCCTCTGTGACATCCTCCAGATGAAACTTCCCACCATGAAGTAACACTCATCCTTCTCCAGTCAAAAAGGAAGGAAATTTGACCCTGAAACAAGGGTGCAATGAAACAATGTTTTCCTCGCAAGGGAGGGAGGGGTGCACCGGCTTGCCATAGCTCACAAGCAGAATGGCCTCACCTAAGCTTATTAAAAAAGGCAGATTATCAACCAGTACCAGGGGTTTGTGGACGGCTGCAAGTGAGTTCCCAGGCCCAGGAGTCCACCAAAGGGCAGGGCAGAGGCCCACTCAGCAACCCTCCTCAGCACCTCAGCCCACGCCTGGCCTGGGCCTCCTGCGAGTGACGAGGGAGACAGCAAAGCCACGCCCTGAGGCGACTTTGCCAGGCCGGCTTTCAAGCACCCAGGGGAGGGTCGCAGGCAGGTGCTGCTGGCTTCTTCTCTTCAGCTTGAATCTGTCACCTCAACAATGACTTTGCTTCTGGATAAATGCACACGTCACAGGGAAAACTTACAACTTAAACCATTTCGGGGTGACTTCGGTCTCCAGGGTCGGTGCAGTGGGGGAACAGGAGGCTGTCCTCCTCCGAGGGAGTCTGGGAGGGACTCCTTCACGAGCAGGGGCCTGCCCAGAGCACACTGGCCGAAGAACGGCAGCGCCCCTGCAGCACAGGCCGAGCCCTGGTCGGGCCCGGAGCTCTGCCGCGGGGAGGAAGAGCACATACATACCTGGGGCATCTGCTCTATGCTGAACAGCCTGGGGAGCTTCACGCTCAGCATCCTGGGGCCGGGTGGGGAAGGTCAGTGGGTGACGGCCGCTCCCCGTCACCACGCCTCGCTCAAAGTTCTGACATGGCCTGCGGTGCCTCTGGCCAGCCGGTGCCAGGGCCTCTTCCCTGAAAGAGAACAGCGTGAAGAGAGCCAGTGAGTCTCAGCCTGACTCCAGCTGGATCGAGAGTGTCAGGTTGTTGAACTGTTGAACATACCCTCACTCGTGATGGCAAAATAATCCAGTGCCCTTAACAACAACAGCCAAACTATAGGACTGCTGAGTCATTTACTCCGAGAGAGCTGAGGGAGGTAATTAAATCATAAGATGGGCAATCATAAAATTACAGAGCTGGAAAGGGCCGTAGAGGTCACCCGGTCCCCTCATGATGCAGGTGAGGGTCAGAGGGGTGGAGTAACCTCCTCAAGGCTGCACAGCTAGGGGACAGCTGGAGCTGCTCACTCTCCACTGCATCACATGCTGCCCCTGGGCAGACAGTCTGATCCCAAGTCTGTGTCCACTCGGTGGGCATAGGGGACCAAGAGCCATGCTCCAGGTCACCCGAAGAGAAGCCGCTCTTCCAGAAGGCTGACCGGAGCACGGCTGCCATGAGACACACAGAAGACCCAGACCAGGCAAATCTGAGGCACTTGCTGGAGACAGAGCAACTCGGAGTAACAAGGTTGGTTAAAGGCAGGATTAAGACTGCTTAACAGCTGTGAGGAATGTGAACTGGAGAAACCCAAAGCCCTCCGGACAGGCCCAAGCCACAGGGAAACAGAAGATGGGTCCAGCAAAGAAAGAAAGAGCTAGACATTTACCAGAGTCAAAGCCCCTCTACCCGCATTGTCACTGGGCCAAAACCTGCTGCCTCCTTAGGTGCCCCCAGAGGAGATCTGTCCCCACCTCCGAAGGCCCGAGACCTTGCCTGTCCCTCTCCTGTGGCACCAAAACCACATCTGCCTGCAGGTGAAGCTACCTGCCCAGGGCTCGTTCCCCCACCGTTGGGGAGGACCCTCCACGATGGCTGGAAACTCAGGGGGTGTGCCTGGCGCATCCCGGGCCTTCAGCAAATGCATATTTAATAAAGCATTGTGGTTCATCCTCTGAACTTCACGCGTTTTCATTTTTGTGGTTTGTTGATACTTCTGCTTATTACAGTTCTTTATGTTCTATGTGTTATTATCTGGAACTAAGTAGCAAAATACAATGTATTTATGTTTCATTGTCATAATCATGCTTCTTTCTTGAAAATACTGATGTGAAGTATTATTCACGATAGTCAAAAGGTGAAAACCACCCAAGCGTCCCTAGCAGATGAACAGATAAACCAAATAACAAACAAAATGTAGTCTACACACAGTGGAATATCCTTCAGCCTAAAAAGGAATGGAGTTTGAACACATGCTACAACATGGCTGAACCTTCAAAACATTACGCTAAGTGAAATAAGCCAGTCACAAAAGGACAAATGCTGTATGATTCCACTTATACGAGATATCTAGAATAGGCAAATTCATAGAAACAGACAGTAGAATATCAAGGCCTGGGGGAGGCAGGAATGGGAGTTAGTATTTCATGGGTACAGAGTTTCTGTCTGGGGTGACAAACAGTTCTAGAAATACAGTGGTGATGGTTGCACAACACTGTGAATGTAATGTCACTGACTTATACACTTAAAAATGGTTAAAATGGTGGACCCGGCCCCGTGGCCGAGTGGTTAGGTTTGCACGTTTTGCTGCGGTGGCCCAGGGTTTCGCCCGTTCAGATCCTGGGTGCGGACATGCCACCACTCATCAAGCCATGCTGAGGCGGCATCCCACATGCCACAACTAGAAGGACCCACAACTAAAAAAAATGTAGAACTATGTACCAGGGGGCTTTGGGGAGAAAAAGGAAAAATAAAATCTTAAAAAAAACATGGTTAAAATGGTAAATTTTATGTTGTGCATATTTTACCATAATAAAAGTTATCATATTTCCAAATTAGAGAATAATGAAGAAAATAATTTTTTAAAGCACATTTTACTCAGTTCAAAAAACAAAAGTTAATACTTTGCAAATAGACAAACAACACCCATATGAGTGGACCCTGGTACACCTTAGTTCTGTTGGTTTTCCAGGTCCAGGTCACCCATCACAAATTCACCAGTGGCAGGATAAGAGGCGGAGGTCCGGTACCAGGGGAAAACTCCAGCACACCAGAAAAACCTCCAGCAATAACAACAGGACCAGGCCGGTCTCCACAGACCCGCCCACCTTGGTCCCCAGCTTCTCCCTGAAGTTGACTCAATGTCATGAGCAAGAGAAAGAAAAGGCATGGTCCCTACTCTCACAGCACACATCGTCCAGGTCGAAGGACCAGACTCAACCTACAAAAACCAGGGGTCAGAAAAGTCAGAGATGATTCATGCATGTCCTCATTCAGCCCCTGTTTACTGCATGTGTATCATGCGGCAAGTGAGGGTAAGGGCTAAATGTTTAGCTGATTATTATAATATAAATGTATAATTATTCTCTGTGGGCTGCCGCAGCGTGGAGGAAAAGGTGAGAATTTAACAGAAAAACTGGAAAGGTTTGTGGCACACAGAATAGAGGGCAGGAGGCATCCTCCATACCATTCTATTCCTTACTTGGAAATAAAGGTGAATAAGACAGTCTGTTGTCCCCAAGAAATGTATAAAGAAAGAGATGAGACAGATATGCACCCAATTCACTAGCACCAGTCACCCTGAGCAGGAGGGAACTCCCACCCTCTGCACCAAGCCCTTGCTGGTCACTGCCCGCCTGGTGCCTCTCAATGCCCCATCACCACAGCCTCTCAGGAAGCCAGGCAGAGCAGCTAAGGGCCTGGGTGCTGGATTTAGGCCACTTGGGTTCAAAGACTGATTTGTCATTTCCTGTGCAACCCTGGGCAAGGAAATTAACTCCCATGCTTCAGTTTCCCCATCTGTAAAATGGAAATAGCGGTAGTACTTTCTTCATAGGGTTGTTGCTACATTTAAAAGAGAGAACCCATGTAAAGGGCCTACCATAAAGGAAGGGTCCAACAAATACCTGCTACTATTATTAATTTTCAGAGAGAAAAATTAATTTTATATTTTACAGGCAGGAAAACTGAGGTGTTGAGAAGTTAGGGGGCTTGCCCAAGATCACACCGCTAGTGGGTGGGAGAGCTAGAATCTGATGTCTGTTTTCAGAAGTTTCCTTTCAAGAAGAGAACGGACTTGGATTAAAGGGAATTAAGTCCTGGCACAAAGCACTAGGACTGAATTTCTCTGCTACTGAGAGAAGAGAGAAAATACAGAGTGTTTACCAAAATGTTTAGAACGCAGACGCTCACCAGTGACCCCCTCTGCCAATTAATCAGGTTGAGACAAACTCTCAGTCAGACCAGGCTCGAGTGGGAGATTATTTGTGTCCTGTTTTCCTGCCATTCAAAGAAATAAGGATTCTCCCGTGAAGAGACTGCTGTTTTGCATCTAAAATGTAAACCTTTATGTTTGTCAAACTTGTGAAACATCCAGGGATGATCATAGGAAATCATAAAGCATGGATAATGATTCCTGTCTTGTGCCTACTGTTAATCATTTCAGACAAAATTGAACATAAAATCAACTCGTTGGTCTTTCTAGCTTCTTTCCATCACAAGCCAAGCTTTTAATTTCACCAACACTATAAAAACCAGAGTGTAGTTTCCAGCACTTCAAACAGCAGTTGGTTTGCTGTCTCTTTTTGCAGAGGTCTAGAAACAAGATTGCATGAAACAAAAAGGCACCAGAGAGTTCCCGAATCAAAACACGTGAAGCTTTGCTATTATTTCAACAGTATATTGGTGTTCCACATAAGACTTCACTTAAAAGAGGGCTCCACAGCTTCAAAATATGTTTTAAAACAGCTAAAAAGAGTAAATGGGGGGCCAGCCCAGTGGCGCAGTGGTTATGTTCACACCTTCTGCTTCTCAGTGGCCCGGGGTTCACCAGTTAGGATCCCGGGTGTGGACATGGCACTACTTGGCAAAAGCCATGCCGTGGTAGGCATCCCATGTATAAAGTAGAGGAAGATGGGCATGGATGTTAGCTCAGGGCCAGTCTTCCTCAGCAAAAAGAGGAGGATTGGCAGTAGAGCTAATCTTCTTCTTCAAAAAGAAGAGTAAATGGGGCTGTAATACACTCTCAAGGACCTGCTGAGTTCCCTTGAAATAGCCCTAAAAAAAAAACAAATCATAACAACAAAACCACCATCAGGAGGTTTCAGGCTTGTGCTCTCAGATTTAAGACCCAGTGAAATTAACAAGGGGTGAAATGGGCACCGGACTCCCTCACCTGTCTCAGGCTAGAGATCCATCCATATTCCTGGAGGTTCGTCCCCAGCAAACTTTACCCTACACTCTGTGGATCCCAGGCCTTGAAGGACACAGCCAGCAAACTTTATAACCTCCCAAATACGTTTCCATATAACGTGGCTGAATACAAGCTGATGTGCTATTTTCCCAGTGAGAGGGTCGAAAACATGTAACTTCTATGGATGCAAAGGAACTGTACACAGTCTCTTTATAACATTCATTTATTAATTTAGTTAAACATACATATTTAGAATCCCTTACTATAGCCAACCTAGTTTTAAAATATTGTTTTTCCACTCGTATTTCATAGACATAAGTGTATTCAAAATCTTCACATGTGCCTTTGACAGCAGCATCTTCACAACCACAGCCACTTTGGGGAGTCACTTAACACAGTTTAAGTGAAAAATATTCTTATTTCCAGCTAAGTTATGTGAAAGCTGTACTTTTTGAAGCTGTATTTAATGCTGTTGCTAAAAAATGTATCACAAATCAGAAGTATCCATTTGCTATTATTACAATGTCTGCAATTTGCTTTCAAACACTTCACACAAACAGTGTGATATGAAAATGTTTTAACCCATCCCCCTGGGGTGGGGGTTAATTAGCATTTAAAAGACTAACCATAAACTTACACTTACTTCAGAGGCGGCAACTTTGGTTGGTTGGGGTTATTTTTGATTAACACCAGAGGGTTTGCTAATTAGCACAATGGATGCTGTCTTATTGGAGAAATGAGTAGAATTAGAGACACATGAGATGGTGAGAAGTGTCGCACAGAG